CATTTGTGTTTACGCGGGCGAGGTCCACGACGGTGGCTTGTTCTCATGTGTTCCATTGGCGGATCTCTGATTTTCAGCGGTTCCGCATTTTGCGAAATGCTAGCTCATCTTCGGTGTCTTCGGTAGCCAACTTTTTGAAGAAGACTTTTCCAGAAGACGCTGAATCCTTTTGGGTAGCTTAAAGATCGTTTGACTGCATGCTGATTTTTTGAGACGAACGTCGCGTCAGCCTCGTGGATTTTCAGGGCAATGCTCCCATATAAGTCTTCCACTGAGGCCGGTCACATTTTAAAGTGTTCAAGAAACATGCGCATTCCCGAAAATTCTACACGGCAGAAGTTTCGAATCCAAGTTTGAGGTTTGGGCTTTCTGGCCCAGTATCAGATGAAATCGAAAGTCAGCACATTGTCGTCACCATGCCCCAATAAAGCGTCGGTTACCACCTGATCAACGAAGCGTCTTTCGCTGGTGATGACAAGATTCAGGAGGGATGTAGCTGACCTGTGCGGTAACCCGTGGGTGCAACGACATATTGAGTCCAAGCTGTCTGTTGAACGCAACGCCGCAAAATATTTAATTGACCCGGCGCGCTGGAGCTCAACCCAGGGGGTCTTCGGAACGTTGAAATCACCTACCAGCAGACGAGTGAAGTGGTAGCCAGCGGAGAGTTGCTCAAGGGTTCGTATTAGGAATTGGTCATCTTCAGGAGGACTAAAGGGGCTACGTCGTCAACACGCAGGAGGAGAGAATCGGACCCGCGCACGTGATTTGGATACGCAGCGCACCGCAAAACGGTGCGGGAGGGGCGTCAGAGAGGACAATCGGGATGGGTAGGGCTGCATCTAAGTACAAAGCAACCCCACCAGCTCTGCCTCGTTTTGAGTCAGCTCGAAAAACAGAGTGGTCGTATATCGATATCTCCGCGTCAGAGACATCTGGTGTTAGTCAGGTCTCTGTGGGTACGATTATGAAATGCTGTTCAGGGCAAACTGACTGTTCAACATCGCAAAGTTTGTTGAAAAAGATGAGGTAGTTTGTGGACAGGCAATCGAATGCTGTCTCTGCTGCCTCCGAAGTTGACGAGCCGAGAGTTGCGTGACCAGAGAGGTTGACAGACTTAATGGTTGTATGTCCGGTTCGAGTCCAAGGCTCCGAAGAAGCCTCTGAGGCACACTAGTTTTCTTCCTGTCTTGGTGGTTCCAACGGCTGTTTTTCAAATGCAAGTTTTTTCGCCCAAGCGAGCCCGGTTTGCAAGCTTATGATCCCGCGCTGAGAACTTAAAAAGCAGTTCTACACCCTTATTTTGCTTGGGTCTTTAGGGTGAAAGATAACTGCTGAACGGCAAGAACAAATTCGACCTGGGAAACTTACGTGAAAACTCTAATCTTGCGAATCAATCCGTGGACCCGTGATTCTATTGGTCAGTTACAATGTGCGCGCTTTTGAATTTGATGTTCTCCAAGGTGACCCATAGTGTATTTAATAGGCATTCATCGGTGTCTGCTACGTTTTCGTCAACAGTGCGTTCCCTCTGGACATCTTTCTTCTGCTCCTTCTTCCGGGGTCTGTCATAGCTGGGTGTTTGAACATTTGTCCTCAGTTCTCATCACAGCCTGTGATGCTGGATGCACCCAAACATGGTTTCCTCGACTGAAGTACATACGGCAGAGTCGGATACCCGTTTTTGTATCACTCTGTTGAGACCATTCGACACTCTCAATGCTACCAAGACATTTCAGGAAAAAAATATGACGTCAAAGATGTGATGCCTCGCGGCCAAACACCCCTTACCGCAGTGCACCAGACCGCGTGTGGCCTGGTTTATGCTTGTCCTTCGTCGTCAACCATCAGAACGATGTCTGCGTACTCCAGGTTGATAACGTAACCACCTATAACGGTCGACATGAACATCGAGGTTCGGAAGATCTACTCTTCGTCTTATTTCATCGATGAATTCGAACGTCAATTAAGAGACTGGACATCCTTTCCAGACACTAATGTTGTGATGAAGTTTTCGGAGAGCTTACCATGCACTCGTGCTCAGGAGTATGCGGATTTTTGGACCGGATTATGTTCAAAAACAGCTCAGCAACTGCGATTACGACTGCTGGCAGGATCGAACGCACTCTTGAAGTCAAGGAGCATCATCATCATCAATGACAGCAACATCACTGTTGGCACTGATGCTTCACTGCCGTACCAAGTCCAGGAGCACTGAGATCGGGCGTCGCTTGTGCATATGGCATTGGTCTAACACTTGACGGAGTGTGAAAACGCGGTCGACACAGCCTCTGCTCGATCGAGATCCCGCTTGATTGTCATTGGTCAATGATTCACTTGCTGCCGTAAGAAGACGAAGAATCAGTTTCGCCAAGAAGCCTGGTTACAATGGGAATCGAAGTAAACCCATATGGTTATTACACTCAACGCGAGTACCCTTTTTGAGGATAGGCATTATTTGAGACGAACTCTTCCTCTCAAATAGTCACAAATGTGTTAGCCAGGTACTCGCTGAGGAATACACTGCGATTCTCGAACAGAGTAGATAGATGGTCGTCAGAACCCGGAGCACGATGACACTTGATTAGAGACATGCCTTCGAAAACTTCTGAGGTAGAGGGGTCTCCAGATTCACCATTTATCTTTCTGTTTAAGATCTGCAGTCCGGATTGGAAGTAACAGGTGGCCAGATAAGTCGTTATTCGTCATCTAAAACCAATAGACCAAATGTTCTTCGCTGGATATCGGGAGCCATTTCGATTTCTGATGGTTTTGCGGATAACAGGCTTCCGAGGACCCATAGAACGAACGAAGTGGAACAGCTCGCGTACGTTTCCAGCATTTTTCGCACCTTCCAGTTTTTCGGCCTTTTAGACTTGGCAAGAGTCCTGGTTGGCATGGACATTCAATTTTACCTGGCGTCGGATGATGCATCGAGTTGAGTTGTGGTGGCAACCTGCTCCAGCTAAGGAACAGCCCATTAGGGATCTAGTGCTTGGCTAGTGTTGGCTGGGTTGTACCGCAAGAAGAGGTTTCGGCAGCAAGTACAGCCTTAGATGTCTGTTTCCAGTGACATTTAGTATCCGACATCGAATATTATCCATATCAAACGTACGGCAGACATTGAAGGCGTTGGTTCGTTCAGCTGTAACACCCTTTTGGTTCTAGCTGCCGTGCCACCAGAAGGAAACATGAGGGCTGGGATACTGCCAAGTTACCCAAGCAAAGACAGGGGAAGTCGAGAGGCAGACCTCTGATTCGAACGACGGACATTTCAGTTAGTAAATTCGCGCTCTGACCACTGAGCCATCTCGCGCTGGTTCTGGTGGTTTCGTTTGATTTCTGGGTCCGCACGCTTCTCAGTAGTTATCAGTGCGAACAGAAACTGAGAACAGGGACACCATTGACATTGATTAGCAGCCATATATTGATGCATCTACAAACAGCAGTGAAGACCACGCAGCCTCTATCTCAGAAGGCACGTTGCATCGACATAAACAAAATTTCCGTAGTCTCTCCAACCTATGCCAGATCAAAGGTTTGCCACTTCTCTGCTGGCACCAATTCAAATTCAGTACGGAAAGCACTACTCTCTTCGCCAACCGATGGTTCGGCATACGCAATACATGCTCTAGCCAACGCAGCTTCTGTTGCTGGACGTGAAAGTTCCTGTTACACAAACGAACACTTTCTACTTGTCTTGTTACGGATTCGCCTTCACGAACTACGGTTCTAAGACAACGAGTGGAAGATCTGAGGATGTACCAGTTCTGCCGCTCGAACAGGCTGTGAATCACAACCATACAACAAAGCAGTCTTCACCATAGTGTGGCACGCACGTCACTTAAGATTCAGGTGTGTGCCACTCGGTCGTCATCCATGTCTCAGATTAGCAAGTGTGACCCAAACTGTGTGTGAGCTGTTTGGCTTTGCGTGAACTGACGTTTGTCGGCTTACGCGTTGATGGGCTACCGTTCTGAATTTTAGAAGGATGGGTCTCACAGAGATTATTTGCGACTGATTCGGTTGTCAGCAAAAAATTACATAGTCATCTTTGTAGGTGCTATGAACGCGCAACGTGGACGACTGAGCCTGAAAGAAGCCAGTCCTTAGCGTTCGGTTAGTCGGAAGCAACCTCTTTGGTTGTGTACTGAATACCATCTGCTCCTGGCCAGCGCGAGCTTTCAGCCTAAACACCCATATCCACTTACTTGGAGGCGACCATCCGCAAGCTACTCATGTACTACGTTTGATTATGGGGCTATCAGTGATACATGAGTAGTCTGAGCTACGGGTTGCTCTTCCTTCTGGAATACGCAGGCTGATCCCAATCATGCCATTGTACGGACTCGGTGATCACTTCGCTTTGCTTCGGCGTTAGGCACTTCGAAGCACTGCTTCACCGTTCATGAAATTTGGCGAGTTCCAGTAGCTCAGTAGTATCCAACTGATCTGGGTGAAGAGCTACTGGAAACGCACAGTTACTTTGATGTAAAGATTAGCTGGAGGTTGAAAGAAGTAAGTTAAAGAGGCTGTGTTCCCAGCTTTTAGAACTATCTGTCCAAGGCATCTGACTTGATTAAATGAACACTGAATATCGTCGAGACCAGTAGATTTTATGGATGCCATATGAGCCATGCCAGAAAAAGGTGACTTAAGTGGCGCGCGCAGACCCCTCACACGTCAGCTAATCAAGAGCCTGAAGAACGACGGTGAACTTGATGGATTGTGAAGGTCCAGGAGATGGAGAAGGCTTTCGCTGCAGGAAACGGCCGCGCCCTGTTTCAACCGATTCGATCAACCGGTCAAAAGAATACAGATGTCAGAGAAACATGCAAAAAGGACGGAGCGGCAATTCACTCGCAGCCCATCTTGATCGATGGGTTCAACGCTAACGAGCAGTTCAACTGACATCTTTCAGTACAAATTCTGGAAGAATCCAAAGTGCCTCATCATCATCATCATCATTACCGGCAGCATGACATCAGTGTTGAACACCAATGCTTCACTGCCGTACAACACAACCAAACAACCAAGATTTGTATGAAAACCTTATTGTGGAGAAAAGAATAAAGGTGGGCAGGGAAGGGACTTAGTGCCAACTTACTACAATCATTCCCGGGTGTCTACACTTGCAGACACTCATTCATTCAATCTGGATAGAAACTGACAACAAGAACGCCACTGATATCGGTTGGTAGCCATATCTTGCAGTGTCTCCAACCAGGCGCAGTGGGGATCACGCGGTCCCCATTCCCATTAGTAGCTCCTTACCGGGACAAAGTCTACCAGGGCTGATTTTTTGTCACTAGTCGGACCAAACATAGCAAAGGACGCCGTTTATCGTCACGACTATTCGTCAGTTCCTTTAAGTTTCGTAATATTGTGTGTGCTCTCGAGGTTGGGGGTTGGAGAACGTATGGCGACGTGTTCCGTAAAAATGGCAATTACTTGCATTTCGTAATATTGTGTGTGCTCTCGAGGTTGGGGGTTGGAGAACGTATGGCGACGTGCTCCGTAAAAATGGCAATGTACTTGCATTTCCAGCCGAACACCGCTGCCTTGCGGTTAGGCTTTTGAGTCAAAGGCTGTGGTTGAGGACCCTAATCGTCCTCCTGTCTAGGTGTGGGCGCCTTGACAGTATCTCAGCCCACGTACGACCATGACATACACAACAATACTGCCGAGAAGACTGCTTATTAACACACTGTTACTAGTCATATATACGTCACAACAATTCCATATGGAACTCAGTTCCGTCCAAACAGATGAGTTTTTTACTGTTCCCCATTTTGCTGTCAATTTTACAAATCTCATGTATCATTCATTTCAGCCCGTGTCATGCATCGTACCGGATGAGTGTACTTGGTGGTATGTGATCAGAACTGATGTAACTATGCTTTCAATTCAGACGCAGACGAAATCGAAGGTAGAACACCACTGCTAAGTGACGGCATGTCCCATACACCCAGAGAATCATCTTGCCGTCGGCAGCGGCCCCCAGCACCTATAGATGATTTCGAAGAGAAGGTACATATTGATGATGATGTGGGTTCTCAGGTGAGTTATTCACAGTTTTGGCATGTCGGATGCTTCGATACTAGGCGAATGTATGTGCGTAGTTCGAATAACAAAAGATCAAACTTTCCGGCCAATTCAGAAACAACTGTTGGTAGTGGATTAGCCCAACAACCACTGACCTGCTAATTTAGAATGTGGGAGTCTTTTCTGTCGCACGTCATTTATTCACCGGTGTCTACGTTACACACCGATTCCCCGCTTTACGTTCACATTGGTTTCATTCTTTCTGGACCCACTGCCTTGCCCATTAAGTGTAAGCAATTATTTCGGATACTTGCGCTTCAAATAAGATCTACTTCCTTTGGAGGTATTGTCTTCCATGGTAGCATCCACAAAGTTGTTTTGTACTGCTTCGGGTAGCTGTTAAATCTCGTTATCCGATTTCGATTCGGTTTCGAGATCTGTGTGCTGTTTGGTCTGATTATATACCACGTTTGAGCATAATAGGCTGAGACAGTTCTTTCGATCCATATCCTGTTTATTACCCTTTCCTGACTGTCAACCTGAAGATTGATGTCATTAATGCTGATTCAGTTATCTCCTGAACGCTTGTCAATTTGTGTGTGTAGTCAAACGCGTTTTAATCCTGACTGCATGTTAAGCGCCCAGGGTGATCTCTTTCTAAAATCCATCAGAACAAAAATGAAATCATGCCGTTATCCATAACCCTAACCCAAGGCCGAAATACTGGCCTGTAGGAAATGTCAGTGACAAACCCACAGGGACCTCCAAAAGTGTCCCTAATTGTGAGATATCCCCAGTTAAGAGGTCTGTTATCAGGGAGTTTTACTCCAGTCTGCAGTGACACAGCTTGTTCTCCGTACCATTTCGTAGAATGGATTCTTTACACAACAACGCTGTTTTGCATATCAAACTGATTTTGCGCACCGGAAGCCACTCGTTTAGTCGTCATTCCTTAGGTTTAATATCATAGGCCACCACTGTGGCATTCTCGGAGACGTAAGATTCTTCAAAATAATCATATGAGCAAAGAAATGTGATTGAGCTCTCATCTTCACTATACGAGCCTCCTCTCCAAAACCTTGGGCGTTCTAGCCACCAACCGTAAATGGTATTCTAGAACTCTGGCAAGTTCTGAATCTTTATAGCTCACCATTCATATGCGCGCAGAGTTCAAGGAACCTATTCATTGTTCCGAATTGTAAGCATGATGCCAACGGGGAAACAATCAATATGCAACTCGATACTGCCTTCATTATCCCAATCATATATGTCCACACGTGAATGAACATGGGTTCTGTAAAGTACAAGTTGACAAGTGCAGTCCGAACTATATCCGGAGTTAAGCTTGTTACCTAGTGAAGTTGATAGTCCGTTAAAAAAACTGGTCTTCGCACGATGCATCCAGTCACGTGTAAGTTGTAACCTTCTTGGATATTGACTAGGTGGTTTTTAAATTGACCAGTCAGTTTTCAGCGTGCCAATGCATCGACTGAAGGTAAGAAAACAACCAGTCATGGTTGATTACTTTTTTCAAAAACTGCAGAGTGGCTATCGGTTTTTATAGTGCCGGTCTTAGCTGCTGTATAAAAGCGAAAGCAGTGTCTCATTCGCTGCAAACGCTACACCGGCTCTTAGACTACGAGGGCGGTACACATGCAGCTCTGCCAATTCTTGCTGCTCAAAACAACCAGTATGCTGTTTCTTCCTGGTCGCGCAGACCACCGTTGTGATAAAACCGAAAGGAACGGTTTACCTTGGTTCGGACTACTCAACGGGCCTAAATGTTCGTTCGAACACATCTGCTACCCTGACCCGATATTACTTTCGTCAAGAAGTACGGTAGTATCTGTTTTGCCCACGTTGACGTGTCAGGTGCCTACCTTTAGATTCCCGTTACAGAGGAGTACAAACAGTTACCCACGACCAACATTCGCCTAAACCAACTACGACCAAATGAAGAGACAAGTTTTGACCATCGCGTTTTGAAGTAGGTTTCACGGTTAGCTGCATGACCAACGGTTTACTTTCGTGAACTACTGCAAATCCTTGTTCGTCATTTTTTTGTTTCTGCACGACGAATAGACTGCAACGCTAGGTTCAAATACTCCATGCCTGTAACTTATCCATCAAGTCAGGTCGGCACTGTCTCTCGTTCGACTGACTCTCGCAACATTGGACCAGGAGGCAGGTCGGCACTGTCTCTCGTTCGACTGACATCGCACCAGGAGACGCCATCATCGTCACCGCGGAACCAGTGCTCGCATTTTGGTTACAACGAACGAATTACCTGTGGAGTTTGGAATGACATCGTTTTGCTATTTGACAACCATGCGTCCTTCCCTGTTTCGGCATATTATACTCACCTTCAGAGTTCAAGACCTTACCTGAGTACCTTTCATTTACCACTTTGAAACTTCAGAAGAAGGAGCTTGAGTTCATTGATAGGTTCTTGACAGCTTCTTAATTCGTGACTGTAAAATTGTCAAATAAAGCCGCCTAGACACGAGAAATGCCTGCCAACATGCGTCATCTTTGGCGTCCAAAACGAAGATAACTGGAGATGATGATGACGATGATGATGACTGAACCAACTCTCCACAAAAACTTCTGAGGTTTTTCGCTTACTTGTTGTTGATGAGTGCCTCGGTTTTCATTGTGACACCCTGAAATCATCCGAATGAAATTTGTTGCTCACAGACATATGAGCTCGAAACTGCTCAGTGATTAAGATGTGAACTTATTGAACTTATTGAACTCAACTCCAGGGTCCTGACTGCGTTTAACTGGTATTGGGAAACTTCATCTCCCGCCTTGACTTGACTCAAGACTTTTAGTTTCAAAGTACGAATTATCCGGTGTGACAAGGTACGAGGGTGAAGAACTGGGATATCGGTTCAAAATTCCATACGACCTCTACTTTTCCTTGGGGGTGAGTATAGTGTATCGGTACGGTGCGATTCACAGTTTTACAGGACTTCGCGTAAAAGCCGATGCCTTCACATCCCTTCTTTGCTATTCATCGTTTTCTCTCCCCCTTTTTTTTCTCATTTAGCGATGCGGAGGATTCAGCTTTCGCAAACTTTGGGCCTTTACCGGCCCCGGCTTTCTCATGAGCATAGCGTATTTGGATCCGGGCAACATCGAATCCGATTTACAGAGCGGTGCGATTGCCAAATATCAGGTAAGGTGATTTTTCCTATGAAACCCTTGATGGTTGGAAACACGTGACCACTTTTATTTGCTTTTGACAAAATGGACCAAATCCCAGCGCAAGAAAGACATACTGGGAGTTTACAGTTGCTTTCCCGTCAAAAACGATGGGAGCCGCTTTCTCCATCCGCCGGTATAAAAGCGGTGGTGCAATAATTTGAAACGGAAATACAGACAGCGAGATGCATACTGGTGTGTAGCTAAATACTCGCTGCACTATTTGAGCTCTCAATAGAGAAACGAGTAGTGGTCATCCACTGGCAAGCAGTTTATTTCCACCTCTGTTGATCGGCGCTAGTTCGTGTTAGTTTCTGACGTTTCACTACTCCAATGATTTTTATTTTCCCAGCCTCAAAGGCGGATCTGGGTATCCGGGAGATGCGAAATGCCTTACTATTGACTACGTAAATACACACCGTAAGATATAAGGAAACCAGTGAGTGCTACTTAACAAAATCTCCGCATTCACTTCACCTGTCATACTTTTTGAACTCTTCCAGACATTCCCTTGTCTGACATTAATGGGGACCACCCAATCCACAGTGTGAATCCTGTGGTCTCATGAGCGTACTGGGTGAAGTTTGAAGACGCTTTTACCCGACGATTATGCCGGTCTCTGGACAGTCTTATCGTGACTTAAACATCAACCGTCATGCATATCTTCTTATTTTTTAAGAAGTTGGTTCAGCGTTGCATTTACTCGCATTTCTCGCAAGGCCAGACGACGAACTCAGTTCAAGATACCTCCTCTCAGTCGTGGTTGGCTGGTAAGTCTTGGGTTGCATCAGGTTGCACCAAGTTCTCAGCCGTTTGCATGAGGATCTGTCGGCCTCAACGCTCTTTAGTCCACCGTCTGCTATCCTCTCTGAAACGAAAATATTTTCCCCAGCTTACCCTACAAGCGAGTATCCCCATCAAAACGACCACCAAACGTGCAAAACATGTATGAATGCCAAAAAACTAGGTCAAAAACTCATGTATAGTGCGTCGTTTATAAAGTATATGCGGCAACAGCATTCTGGGAATACCGACGTCATTAGCAGCCAGCATTCGGCAGATACCGGATCATGGTTGGCTGTTTAGTGCAGATTTCCGCCCAATCATAGTTCGCCTTTATGCTGGACCGGCGGCCCGATTTTTTGGTCAATCATGTGCGGGATAGACTTCTTCGCCGTAGCAGCGCCTAACTGCGACCGGTATCGGTGCGAAATTCCTCCTAACACAGAGTGATTTGCACTCAAGTAAACCTTAGATCAACAGTCAACAGCGAACTTACCAGGGTGGCAGTGGTCGGTAGGCCCCCAGTGCATGGCCTTAGATGAGCACAGGAACATCCTCCGATGGGTTCAACCATCGAGTCTCGAATCAGTATCATTTTCTTAGGAGTATTTCAGCATTACAGACTGCTATGGCGAAGTATCGTAGCCCCCCTATTCGATTTTGTTGTCGAGTTAGTTCTTTCCGATTGTTTGTCATCATCCGCTCTGGAACACTGGTCTTCTCTGGTTTAGCACAATCCTTCCATGTGAAGCGTAGTCCCAGGTGTCTTGCCTTTCTCACCACTCCAATTGATGACCGGACCGACTCTGGGCACATCACAAGCTGTATCTGTTTTCCGGGCTTGCGGACCGCCAGGACCTTAAAATTTCACCGGCACCACGCGACGGCCGATTTGGCATGAGTTTATTGTTGAAACATGTGTTACGTATGCCGAACCATCGTTTGCCAAAGAGAGTGCTGTTTTCCATGCCCAATTCAGAGTGGCGTAAACAGAGAGGTGGCCAACCCTTGAATTGGCAGAGGAGTATGAAGGAGATTACGAAACGGTTGCGTGCTGGGTGGCCAACCCTTGAATTGGCAGAGAAGTGTGAAGGAGATTACGAAACAGTTGCGTGCTGTCGGCGCTACTGGACTTCGAGGATAGGGATCGCGTGATCCCCACTGCGCCTGGTTAGAGACGCTGCAAGATATGGCTGCCAACCGATGTCAGTGGCATTCATATTGTCAGTTTCTATCCATATTGTCTGAATGAATGTATGAATGTCTAGGTACCTCGGAATGATTGCAGTAAACTGGCACTAAGTCCCTTCCCGGTCCACCTTGACTCTTTTCTTTACAACAAGGCTTTCAAATAAATCATGGTTGTACGGCAGTGAAGCATCGGTGTTGAACACTGATGTCATGCTGTCGATGATGATGACGATGAATCTTATCGGCATTAATGCACATCCCCATGGGTTGTGAACCTTCTCTAATCTACCTCAAGTTCACCTACAGGTTGGACATTTATCTGGCTGCCATTCAACATCGGTCTCGATCATGGGCTTCACCTAGCTAAACACTTCATCCGTAACCGCGATGAGAGCGTTGTTCGCCACCAGGAATACAGTTGGAGACTGTAGTTTCCCCAGGTAGCCCACCAAAGGGGCTGCATCCCCTTCCCCTCTGCACATCTGAAATTTGTCTTTTCCGGTACCCTCTCTTACGCCCTCGGAGGAACACCGCGTCTATTGAGTAAATCCTCCTAAATAATCATCTGTTTTCTGGAAGACCAGTGGAAGCCGCTTCATGTCCAAGCATGCTAGTCAGCATCACGCAGCGATTTTATGTAATGAACGCCGGACCACGGTCTGTAGTTTCCAGGCCCGTCTTACCTTGAGGATGCGACGTATTCCCGACCTCAAGAAAGCCATGGTGGAGAACTCTTCGAGCGTCAAGGGGTTAAAGTACTGTACTATAACCTTCGACTTTCTGGTACGCGCGTCAATGTTTCTTGGACTCTACTATGCTGCAAAAACCGACTTCACCTCTTCTGGTTTTGTTACGTTCATCCCGTCTATGCTGTTTTTTTTCAGTACTTGCTATCCTGTTCTGAATTAAGCCAATAGTGTACTTGGGGCTTCGATCAGTCGTCTGAGGCTTGCATCGACGTATTGATAGGGTTGGTGTGTTCCGGTGTTCCCATGGGCTACACTGACTAGAACTTCGTTCCACAAGGTGCGAAAAAGTCAGGAAAGTCAAAGGGGTACAGTTAAACTAAGAACAGCTAGGTCCCATACAACGAGTAATCGTATTACGAAGCGGTGTGGGAATAAAGTTGTACTATTTCCAGCTATTAGAGTATGAAGGCGACCAGCATGTCCATATTCAAAGGAGCAGCGACGCTGACTTCCCCCAGAGGAAGAACTGTTTAGAAAAGATCAACCCTAAACAACGTACATTCCAATTGCGCAACTGTTGACCGTGACTGTGGGCGATTTATTCAATACAGTCGAAGTACTATTAAGGCCTACCAAAAGCCCGATGCTGCTCCAAACCCATCTGCTGTGCACGACAGCATAAGGAGTGAGACACCTATGGCTTATTCCTTCCTCTCACAGACTAGACCGCCTCCCTGAAGCCAAGTAATAAAATACTCGTTCAGCCGTAACACCCCGTCGGTGCCTAGCTGCGGAAAGGCATACGTTCTACCGAGATTTGTACGGGATCATTCATCAGACGAGAAGCACTGACAATGTGATCATTGTCAGGCTATACGATTGCTTAAGTCGAGCTTAATTCTGAGCTGTTTGAAATCACATCTGGGTAGTCGATTCGAAGTCGATGCTCGGCGTACAGACAACGCAGAACGACTGCTTCAGTTGTGTGCTGACCATCAACTACTTTTGGCCGGCACAAATTTTCAATACAGACGCTCGCACAGTACAGCCTGATGAACACCCTACACCCGTTGACCCAATTAGATCACTTAGCGAACAGCCACCGATGAAGAGCCACTATTTAAAACTGTTACTCCTTCCCAAGCACAACTCGATTCCGATCGCGCCACAGTGCGACCAAGTCCAGCAATTCGCTTTCCTGCAGGCCACTACATCTGAGCAACCTCAACTACTCCGTAGGGTAAACCAACACAGATGTTGTCAGTGCGGGATCCGACAATGTACATGTAGACGGTTTACATTGATGGCAATAACGATGATGATATTGGTAATGTTGATGATGATGATGATGATGATTTGTACTTTTAAAGCACTCGTGCTTTTGGGTGTTGCTCTGCTTGAAAAAAATGTACTCAGGCAAACTGTCGCACCATATCTATGCACGTGTTAACCATGATAAAAACACTATTAGGTAGTTTCAGGTAGATCAAGGTCGTTGCAGACTGATTGGACAAAAATATGGTCCACCAGATGATGGGCATTTCCCAGTTCACACAAAATGATGGGTGTAGAGATGTCTTGTTCGATTCCGCACCCGTTGACGGAACACAGCGTTAGGAATATCTGCTTCTTGGCATTACGGGCTTGACAGTTACTGAGCCTACTGCATGCGGTTTACCGTTTTAGACTTTTACAGAACAACTTTATAGTTTAAAAAGCCAGACCGTGTGTTTGCGGTAGCCTTGCCTTCAGCATTGAGTTCTTTCGAATTAGAATCTCTGTCAGGCCACATCTTTTTACTCCGCGATTGCGTAACACGTGTTTGGAAGTTTGGAATTCTGTTGCAAGGTCCTACACCGATACTTGAGATTATCGCCCCAGGATTCAACTGATCGATGGTTAACGAGACTGACAGGTGTGGCACTCGTCTGTCAAGACTATCGCGCTCGGTGCCTAGCGCCCCAGTTTCCCGAACTAACTGGCCATTGCTTGGCTCTCCCATTCTCCGGTGACCGAACTCTCGCACGTAAATGAAACTTTGTTGAGAAATTCCATCAGGTTGTTACAAAAATCTCCGCGCATAAAAACAAAAGTAACATCAATCGGGACGAACATTTTTTGAGACAAGACTTGGAGTTTTGGCATCGTGGGTGTGTATAGACGTTGTGTTAACGAACCTTGTGATTATGCAACGCGATTTTTCTGTTGACCTTTCTAAGGTTTTCCAACATTTCTTCCGCACCTATATTTCTTTGAAATGTGGGACTCAAAAGTGCATCCGGCTGTCTAGATTGCGTAGTTGCTGGAACGCTGTTTCACATCTCTGATTGCCACAAACTAACGAATTCAGGTTGATAGTTAAACATCCACTCGGGCACTCATTTTACATTAAAGCAGTTCATCAGAGACAGCAACATTAGTGTGGACACTGATGCTTCACTGCCGTAAGGAGTTGTTACCGGATCACTGATAAACGGAGCAACTACTATTCAGTAGGTCAAATACTTTCTAGTTTCAGTTAACTGTGTGCTCTTTTCGCACAACCACGTGAAGGGTGGAAGAGAGCCAGAGGCGGTCAAACAATGACTTGGCAGCGAAGTATGAAGGCCATTACCAGCAAACTCAGCTGCGCTGGTCACTACCGTCTTCCTGGATGGGGACCACATCAATGGCTAGAGGCATTGTCAGATATGGCCCAGTCGCGCGCTCAATGGCGCTCGTGCATCCAAGCTATTGTCTCCAATGCATGGCTCCTTTTCCAACCCTCCCCCACTTGACAGCCCACTGGTAGTGCTGGATTTATGCACCAATTTATCAGCTCCCGCCTGCAATACGCAGCTATTTACCCAATCATCGGTGAACGAAACTGCGGCAGCTACAACCATTGTACGACGAGTACGCGGTTATTACAGCTGACAATGATGATGATGATACCCGAACAGGGTGCATGAATCGGAACTACGACCGGCCTTTCGGATGTCCGACTGAGGCTCACAACGGACAGTGGTACGCTTCAGCTCATGTCACACACATGGGAGGGTCTCGCTACATTGTTTTGTCATGGCGTGAGGGATAGCTCGACATTTATTGCGTGGATGCTGTTAGCTGACCCTCCCATGTCGGTTTCGCACCCGCTTCTACGTAGATGCCCATCCAGACGATATAAAGCCCTGTCTCCCATGTGTATACGTCAGTTCCGGTCAACAGGAAGTTCCACCTGTCCAGAAATATCAAAACTGTTGAATCGTGAAATGGAAGTGGATGCCGTAGATGAATCACCAACAATCCTATCGAAGATATCCCAAGTGCATTGTTCGCAAATCACTGACCATTTGGCGTTTCTCCCGTCGAATGTTCACGTTACGTCTACGTTTTCAGTACGTCCTTTTGCACACACTGCTACCTCGACCTAACGGACTTTGCTCCAATGATGATTTCACCAAGTGAATCTCGTGAGTACCCCGAACGAGTTTCATCACCTAGCGCTTTTTTCCAACGGAACGCAGTGAACTTTGCAGTTAGTAAGAAACGTGCCACACACAAAGTATCACCCAGTTGGACTGTGTTATTTTACCTCTCCGCTAAACGAAACAAACAAACAGGTGTATCAACGCGCCTGTTGATGGAAATGTATCGGAATGCTGGTAGGTCGGATGTCTTTACTGGTGGTTGATCAGAAGGCTGTTGATCTGTTCGCCGGGCCTGGTAATCGGCCTGAAGACATTTCGTCACCAATCGAGGAAATGTCGTTGGTATGCAAAGCGTTTACATGCGAAGTACCAAGCTCACGGAACACCTGATCACCCACCATAGCCTATTGATAAATCTCTTTGTGCAATGACTTGCACTTTTTCTTATCGGCACAGTCATCGTTTGATATTCTCGGTAAAAAATTAATAGTTTTTCCTGCCAGTTAACGCCCTTCATTGGGGTGTTTTCGTTAGTTCAGTTGTAGCATCTTTTCGGTGCCCAACTGCCATGCCACCCGCAGGATGCACGAGGGCTGGGATACTGCCAGGTTGCCCAAGCCTAGAGAGGGGCAGTCTAGGCTTGGAACCGCGGTCCTTCCGGACAGTAACTTCGCGCTCTAACCAATTGAGCCATCTCACCCTCAAGCTGAGGCAATACATCTAGACAGGGGTAGGGTGTTTTGAATGCTTCTTATACCAAACAGCGTGGACACCTCGCATGCTCACGTGGTAGCATGTGAGATACCTGTGTTTGCTTATTTCAACCATGTGTGGGGCCTTCTGCGTTGATCTGTACCACGGTGCGAACGTACGTGCATCATGACCATCGCTGAGCTGAAACGTGTACAGAGACAAGACCTGATATATGCGAATAAGCGAGTCCCGGCCATCCTAGTCCAGACGCACTGGCATCCTCGATACCCGTCGGAATTATTCCCTTGTCGTAAACATCCTCTCGACAAGTCTCATTTCTAAAATATTCACCTTTTTTGCACAGCTGTAGGGGCTGGATTATATTCACATTGTATTGAGGTAACCTCAACCTGGCTGTTTGATGACTCTCATCCCCCGCTCCCCAGGTCCTCTCTGGTCCCCTCTTCCAGGATAGCGTCTCCATGACCCTCCCTGCACTTAGCTGGAGACGTTTCAAGCAGTGGTGGCTAATTGGTATTAGCAGCCTTCTTGGTATCAATTTCTTTCTAGATTGTTCGATTGGGCGATTGGATGCGTAGGCACCTCAGAATGCTTGTGATAGGACAGCACCATATTCCTCCCTCACCCACTCTCTTTCTTTACACGTTAATTCGTTAGATTTAATTAACTAAACTCTGTTGTTGTACGACAGTGAAGAGCTGGTGTTATCCTCTGTAATGACGATGACTGATCTGCTGTGACTCATCCGATAAATTACAAAGAGGGCTGCATTCAGAATGTAAAACAAAATTGGGGCTCGACGGAACTGAGAAGGAAAAACGGGGGCCACTTCCTAGTGAGGAGAATGTTGTATTTAAAACGCCCTTTTGACCTTAATTCCAGGCTTGCGGTTGGTGTTGGGTGATTGGTTTGCGTTGCTTCAATGACATACCCCAACGCTCATCATCGTCAGCTGCTGCTGATTGACTCCCTAATCATCCAATCGGCATCTCGTTTTCTAGCCCGAATGTCTGATAGCTTCCCTAGTGCAATTTCGGTGGAGTTGAGAGTCACAGGGCACTAACTTTCCTGACTTAGTTCCTCTTTGACGGGTTTCTTTTTCCACTGGTTCGTTGACGCTCGAAAGAAATCACGAAACTTGTCCTCGGTCAGGAGGTGCTTATTGCTCGAAACACGTCTATTGAGAACAATCTCGCATGCCGCAGTTACGGTGCCTTCGTGTCTGTTACGTACGCACTCCTTCCTATTGTTCCAACTCACGTGACCGTTGTTTCTGTTTCCTTTGCCTCATACAGCTGTTGTGGCTCCTGTTCGGTGCCACTTTGATGGGTCTGTTCCTGCAGCGTTTGGCCGCTCGACTTGGTGTAGTCACTGGACGCCATTTGGCCACGGTCTGCTATGAACAGTATCCGCGGCCAGTTCGTCTTCTCCTGTGGATCATGGTCGAAGTGGCGATTATCGGTTCAGACATGCAGGTATGTCCCAAATGGTGATTGCTTCAACACTGATCAGCTTTCAAAGCATCGAACGTGTTTTCTGACCTTCCATCGCTGTTGTTTTCATGTCAGTTAATTGCTGTCACTTCCATGGATGGTATTCGAGCCACAAATTGTTCGGCTATGTCCAAGTGGAGCGCGCTTATCGCCCATAACAAAAGTTTTTCGAAAAAAATGGCTTAGATTTAATGTGATATTTTCACTCGGCATTTCGATTAGACAGTAGTACAGCGGGGCTCGAAACAGTCTAAAACTATAAACTGGATAACCACAGAGGCCAGTCTGGGACAGATCGCCCCAGTTGTCATGATCATTTCTGTTTTTGTGAATGTACGGCAGTGTTTGGTTTGATGTACACACCGCATCCTGTTGCTACACTGGACAGATGTTCTGGCCACGAATCATCAGCTGTCAGCTGTAACAACCGCGTACTTGTACAGTGGTTGTAGCTGCCACAGTTTCGTTCACCGATGGGAAGGTGGGGTAGATAGCTGCGCATTGGAGGTGGAAGCTGATAAATTCTTGCGTAAATGCAGCACTGTTAGTGGACTGTCAAGTGGGAGAACTCGGAAGGGAGCTATGCATTGAAGGCAGTAGCTTGGATGCACGAGCGACTGGGCAATGTCTGACAATGTCTCCAACCATTGATGTGGCCCCTCACGTGGTCCCCATCCAGGAAGACGGCAGTGACCAGCGCAGCTGAGTTTGCTGGTAATGGCTTTCACACTTCGCTGCCAAGTCATTGTTTGGCCTCCTCTGGCTCTCTTCCACCCTTCACATGGTTGGACGAAAAGAACCATTCGAAGAATTCGGCCGACTGGCATACGAAGCCAGCGCAGCCGATGCAATGTGATTAGTTCACCTATCGAGGGCGAGTTATTTTTTCCGAATACCATTCGACATTCGACATTCGATACCATTCAGCATTGCTGATTCAGTGTTCCCACCAGATTCGGGCCACGGATGAGTCACTGAGATCAAAATTCACGATAGATCAGCACCGCTCTTTCCCGGGACACAGCTGCGACATTCATTTACAGTAAAAAGGTTTCGTGAGTCGCATTAGTTGTGCTCTATCCAACCAAGTAGCGTGATTCTGCCGCGGAGCGTTCGGAGCGATTGCTGAATCGTCTCCGTCAACCGGTTTCATTGTTCTCACTTTGCTCACACCCCCTTTTTGCGTGTAGAGCAAGACAAGTTCGACTAGTTGTGTTCCACTTGTCTGTCGATCCTTTTGTTCGGTAATGTAGTTTGTTCACGAAAGACGAACGTCAGATTTCTCAGACCACTGCAACCAGCGGATAGAAGGAGTTAAGTGGGGCGCCATTTGAGGAATAGCTTCGAGTCATTGGTCTCCTGACGGAAAACTCGTTTGTGTAGCTCCAGGTATCCATTTTCCCATGACACGCCTTGGCACACATCCTCCACAGATGGACCGAGACGGTTTAATGCAGAACGGGGCTCTACACCGTCGTTGAAATGCTGGATGGATCTGGCGCTATTAGCCAAAAGTTAGAGGCGCACCTGTGAACAAAACTTGTGGGGGAATTCCGAATTACCCCACTGCCAAACCGACACCCGCCATAGTGTCGTCATGTGGTAGCCCGAATAGAACGAGCGTTAATGAGACGACTGATCGATCGTATGGAATGATAAAACGTTCCCGTTGGGATACAAGGCAACAGACTGTGGTGCCTGAATAAACTGAAGTAGTGCTCTGATGTTTGCTGGTTGTATTGTAAAATCGATTGAGACTGACTGCAGGTTAGCATTGAAACAGGTTAGGACAAGCACAGCCGGTTGGACTGACCGACTATACGTTTTAGGGACTTAACACTAGCTAGAAAATGCTTTACCAATCAAGCACATTTGTTTCACATGCGATCTTCAGAAACATCGTTCTGTGGAAAAAATAAGTCGCTACGTCGCTAACCATCAAGGCGGTTTTTATCTGGTAGTGTTCTGGATACTGTTGCACATTTACCACCGATCAGGTTGTGAATTCAATCAACAGGTAGGGGTGGAATCATCCCAGAAGAAGATACAAGATGGTTTATGGAACGACCGTATGGTTGCGGAATTGCGAATTTTAAGGGGATACCCAGGTAACCAGTGAAAGAACGTTAGAAGGTATTGGTGTACCCTAACGGACGAATACAGTGCAAAACAAAGACCTATGGTGTCCCTTGAAGAATGGTTACAAATCTGGGTCCCGTCCTCATCAGAATTCCTGGATTGCTGTCTCCATGAATCTTATCGGTCGCTGATCAGAAAAACAGCAGGAGAGTGGGTCTCATACAGGATATTCGTGGGTGTTGTTTCGTAGATCACTACTGATACTGACACTATTACATGTGAAACTTGTGTGACCTTTTTGCCACCAAAAAGGTGTGACCTAGTGAAGCCAGATATGACACTTGACGGACGCATACTCTGTCAGTCTTTATGCGACAAGGCATGGGTTCACGATGCAGTGGGGCCTCAGTTGTCAAGAGAAATGTGGTCCGTGATTATCGCCGAGCTGGAGAGGAAGATCAATGAGTGGTTCCTTTAGCCTGAACGAAAACGAACAAACTTGCGGGACTCAGTGTTTTTCAAAGAATACTGATGGTGTATTCCCCTGTCTCGAATATCCATGAATGATGACCGAATGATAAAGTAGCCCTTGTCGATTTTGAATCACTTTTGTCCCGAACCTCTGGTACGAAGTACAGGACAGTCTGGTTACTCTTCACCAATGTTCCTATAGAGGTGAAATACGGTTTTGGAAAAGAACCAAAGCCTCCCTGAAGGCTTTCCTCGCGAAGGCATTGCATACAGCGGTCCTCCTTACTGGAACCATGTTCATGACAAACCAATTAGTTGAAGTGTCTACAACGTCGTTCACTACTAACCGCCACCTAGTTTGTGACTTGGGTCGGATAAAAAGCAATCAGTGTGCAATATTGGGGCCTTTTAGAAAGCGAAATAAAGAGAGGATCAATGCGCAAAATGCTTCTAGGTCTGGTTCCAACAATATGACGTTCAATTCATAGGACCCTCCCAGGTCGAGCGCGAAACCGCGCAAACCTGAGATTGCGCACGATAGTGGTCCAAATTAATCAGTCCCATCTAATCGGCAACGCAGCGAATCATTAAACGCGAACGGCAGTATCAACAGTTTATTCTACCACTTTATTGTCATCAGTCGCGGGTTGTTTACAAGAGGAACCAATGTTCTTGGGAAGCACATTCCTGCAGAACGGATATCCTGAACGGTATGTACTCAAGACTGTGTAATCTGTTGATACGGCATACATGGCCCAGCCCCAATATCAGATACCGTTTGTTAAACTATTTGCCGCACTCTACCACCAGCCTTTGTGTGCACTCGTTTGTATGCTCATGCCGAGCATCATACGTTGGTCGTACGACATAGCATTTGCTGGGCAGAATGCGAGAACATAACCCCGTATCTCTGAGTGTTAGTTGGAAGAAACCAGGCTCAGATGAAATTGCATCACATTTGGCCGAAACCAGTCATGTCACCGATAAACAGAAAAACTTCAAAACTATATACCAGGTACCGCTGAGCTGAGTATGATCTAGGCTACTATCGATCGCATTAAACATTGGAATGTGACCCATTGGACCAAAAGAAACTGGGGCGACCTCTGAACTTGAACTGGCCTGCGAAAAATCCAGTCCCACAAGCCCCTCTGGCATTAACATCACTTACTTGATTCTGTAACCCCCATTGACGTGCTCCACATCCAACCCCCTTTTGATTTATATTTCACTAAAGTGTATGTACCCCCGCTCTGAACCTTTTTCACGTGATTTCTGGTACCATATAACTTCCTGATGTGTTAGCGAGGAGGAACAATCACAGAAGGAGGTTTTCTCATGATCGCTGTTCATAATAGGGTCATTAAATAGGTTGAAACGTCTCTCCAGGGTTAACAGCTGTTCTCTATTTTACTTATCTTGCTGCACAGCCTGGTCCACCCGAACTTTTGCGGTTATCTTTAGGTGGAAGACACGGTGGACCTCTTCCTCCCGAAAGGTCATTAACTTGGTTGGAAAGTCACGCCAGACCTAACAGCTGTTCTCTGTTGTACTTATCTTGCTGCGCAGCCTGGTCCACCCAGACTTTTGCGGTTATCCTTGGGTGGCAGACACGGTGGACCTCTTCCTCCCGAAGCAAAGTCGTCTTCATATTAATTTGGTTTTGATGAGAGTGGATTTAGAGGCAGCAGGTTCTTCTTCTACCTGCCTGTTGCGTCAGGAAAATTGCAAAACCGACCATAGGGTGTGTAAGCTTTCAGCGACCACGTGAGTAGTATGTTCCCTCAAGTGATGTAAATCTTCCATCGGTAGGGAACGATAGTGAAAACTCAATGAACGTCCAAATAGTATGTTAGGATCTACGATACAAGTGGGTTGGAGTAAGTATGCTTGGATTAACACGGATATGAATGGCAGAAATATCGATTAAGATGTTAGTTCCAGTATGGAGAGATCTCAGTGACCGATTTCCAGGTGTATGATTTGTTATTGGAGTCTAGCGTGAAATCGATTTCCTGGTCTTTCAAACAGGAAGAACGGCAACATATTACTTGGCGTTATCTAGATTACAGAGCTGTCCTCTGACACGCCAGTTGTTCTTTCGGCCTGGACTTCATCGGTTTATTGTTCTGTCTTTGGACGACCACAGCAGAAAGTTACAAATAGGCAGCCTTTATGTTCGTAAAGTAAATAAATGCCTGAGTTTTCAGCAACCTAACGAGTAGTGTGTACCATCAAGAGTGCCGAGGTAGGATGGAATGAGTGAATTTGTGCCGCGAAGGAGTGTTGGTTAGTGAGTAGAGTTTCCAGTTTATTATTTCTATTATCGATCGAGAGAATTCCAGAGACAACTCGCCTAACAATGTCCACATCATGATGTTGAAACGAGGAAAAACACTTGGGGTCAAACTGAGCGCGAAGTCTGGCGTCTGTGTGAGCGCTCAGCACAAAGGGTGAGATTCCGCTGGTGAGCTTATAGTCGATTCTTAACTGCACTGTGTGCTTTTGGACGCTAAACTCTACAGTTTTCTATTCGTTTACTGTTTTCTCCTGTTTTTTATATCTCAAACACAAGGCCCCTTCCCGAAATCTCAGCCATTGAAGATCACTGGAAGGCTAAGCCCCTCAGGACACTGTGTTGCTTTCAGAGAGTTCGCGATGTGACAGAGTTTTCTTGTGGTGTACCAATACATGGTAACCTATGAACTGAATGGTTGAATGGACGTTTCATATGTACGTATACCTATTCCGGACAAATATCAACATCATAACCGTGATTGCCCATCGGTAGCTCGCTTGGTTGTCAACTGATCTGTTTCCAACCCATTCAACCATTCTATAGGCCCTCAAACTACAGATTTTTTGGTCTCGATCGAATATGACCTTGTTTGTGTGATTCTTGCTGCATGCTAAACGAATTTCAATGAAAGTGTGATCGCTTAACACGTCAGAAACGTGACCGCTTTGCGGCCCCTTCGTTCACCCTCACCCATGAAATTTGTGTCTCATTTTCTATTTGAAGACCGGCTTCACTGTTTCTTTCCCATCCTTCGTTCATTCTCTTCCACAGGAAGTCATTGGAACCGCAATTGCAATCAACCTACTCTCGATGGGCTACGTACCTTTATGGGCCGGGGCCCTGATCACCATTGCAGATACATTCACCTTCCTCTTTTTGGACAAATATGGGTTACGTAAATTGGAATTGTTTTTCGCCCTTCTTATCACTACAATGGCTGTGACTTTTGGATACGAGGTAATCAACTTGATTGTCTACCTAATTCCGTCTTTTTTTCCATCCTTGTTTCCTCTGATCTTCTACCTGGTGTTTAGTTCACAACCTTCACCGATGTTCGTATCACAACCGGTTTTGTAAACGAACCACCAAACCATTGGTTTAGTGGATTGGTCGGGCCTCACCATATTTCATGAGTAACTCTATACCCCAGTGCCTTTAAACGTGTCACTCAATCGTGTATTTGAATTGCTTTTACAATGAAGACTAGGTGTCACGTTATGTCCTTGGCCGTTCAGCTGTGACACCCTTCCGGTGTCTAGCTGCCATGCCACCCGAAGGAAGCACGGGGGCTTAGATACTGTTAGGTTACTCAAGCCTAGACAGAGGAACTCGAGAGGCAGAGCTTGGGTTCGAACCACGGACTTTATGGTCAGTAAATTCGCGCTCTAAGCACTTGAACCATCTCGCCTCCCACACCCACGTTATGTCCGCCCGTTTGTGACCCACGTAGTATTACGAAACTGTTAGATGGGGTCATTTTGAAGTGAACCCATTACCGAGAAAATCAAAGAAGCGGGTTCTCGGTTATCTACCCCGAACTTTTGCCGAAATTTCTCTGGGTAACGTCCTATCTCCACAGAGAGGTAACCAGGTATCCAGCAATACCGCTCCTGCACGCTGAAAATGTTGGTTTCCAGCTGACGCATCAGTCGATATGACAACACGAATAACTTCCCAGAAGTCGACTAAAGCTTACGAGAGCTTTCTCCTCAGTTTTTTCTATGTTTATCCATATCCCGTCCCCAGAACACCAAACCCGGACTGACTGAGTAGCTCCAATCGACTGTTTCGTCCTCGTACATGTTGATCTACTATCTATCGGAAGTGACTTGACAGCTAATTGCATAGTCGGCATCCAGTTGTAGACAACCGAGTGTTGTAAACAACTCGTCACTCCAACTCAAATGTCCCGTTTCTGTTTTGCTCAGTCCAGTGGTTTCAGCCGTATAGTCAACGACGACTGGATGTTTGAGAATGCAGGTGATGGCTCGCATCAGTTCAGGACGTAGACACTTGATGAAATGCTGTGGCTTCAAGATGTGAACGTCGAATTTGTCGTTGGTGAGTGTTGTGGATAGTCTGAACTTGGGGGTCGACGCAAAACGTGTGAGCTTACGAAATGGCAACCAACTTGTGTATTGGTTCTCAACAAACCGAACTCCCGTTGGTCACGCTGATTTAGCAATTCATATTTAGCGCGTCGAACTTACAGGTTTTAAATGATTTCTTTTCAACCGACTAACCTATCACGTGGTTTTGTCCTCCCCCCCCCACAACTATGAACAGTACGTCGTTGTTAAACCCTCACAACTAGAAGTACTTCGTGGGTTCTTTGTTCCTTCCTGCTATAACTGCGGCTGGCCGGAGCTCGAACAAGCAGTAGGCATCATCGGTGCCGTCGTGATGCCTCACAATTTCTATCTCCACTCAGCCCTCGTCAATTCCCGTGAAATCGACCGATCTCAACCGAGTAAGGTAAGTTTTCTCATGTAAGCGGCCTCTTATCTCCCACAATTCACCTGGGTAAGGTAACTGTCACGTGACTAGCATTCTGAACAGTATTACAAACCTCTTTGAATCCACGCATGAACTTTTGCTGCTCAATCGATGCTTCAGAGGAACGGCGCGAACGGATATTGCTTGCTGGTTCCTCGTGCCCAAGAGTAACCTTTCTTTTTTTGCTTCTTAGTGGTTGCGCGACGAAACTACCAGCATCTCTGCCTACCGGGCGTCGTTAAAACTTACCAGAATGTATTGCCCGAAAGCCTGTGTCTGTTAAACCCAAAAGAAGGCATTCTCACTCTGGATAAAGTGATCCATTACAGTGTTGTCATCATTCTTGATAGCAGCACCACCGTGAGAAGAATGATGCTTGATTGCCGTGCAGTTATGCTAGTTTGTTTAGAGTGAGTCCACTACAACACCACAAACACACTCTAAACTTCCACTCACTCAATTTAAACCGTATTTGACATCACGAAGACTATCGCTTCACGATCGTGTGGGTCCTACCCTGAGAGGCGGATGACACTTAGACTCCTCAGGATCTTTTTGCTTGGTTTCTGTCACATTCTACTCACTCTCTGGACTGCACCACCCTAAGCTTTGTGTGGAAAACAACGTTGTTTCTAGAAGATATTTTTGTATGCACAGTACACGAGCGAGTAGGTGATCGCTCTGCTTAAATTCCACAAACGATATGCCTGATTCCACGCCAAACACGGTCCAGTCTAAACAATTGCGTCTGGCCGAGCCATAACAACTCCCGTCTTTATTCTGGAGAGTCACATCCTTTAGGTATTGCCCGCCCTAAGACCCGCTGTGTACCAGACGCTCAGGTTCCGGTATTACCCTGGTTCAGATAACGGTGAATAAATGTTCACATTTGCCTCCAAGAGCCCACAGAGATCCACGCGTTGTAACACCAACACGAATCAGTTAAACGTCAGATCGTGGAGTGTACTTTTCGGATGACTGAGACAGGGTTGATGGACTCTAAAATTGTCCTGGATACCCCCTATCCAGGCGATCAGTTGTCAGATCCGTACACTGGTAGACTCCGTAGACCACAGGGAGACCGAGCTGCTTCGTACCGCCAGTGACCAGGTTTTCACTCGTCTCCTAAGCTAACTTGGCCATCCTTTACATGGTATGTGGGCAAGCCTTGTTTTATCGTTTTCGCATCGTCCCTGTCCAACAGATGCTTCATTTCTCGTGTTGAGAGTCTGGATGGGTACATCCCATGCAGTTGGATATGCTGAGGTGGATACTGTATTGAGCGAACGAGCGGAAGCGTCTCTGCTTCATTGGATACCCGTTGATAGTCGCCTCTGTGTGGTTTGTTTGGAAACATTTATGGGAGAATCTAGAGGAAGTGAGGTTCATCGCACCTCGTTTATTGTTTCTGCTTACGCCCCAACTGACTGTAGCTCTGAATCTGCCAAGGACAGTTTCTATGACGCTCTAGGTGCCCTTCTACAACAGGCTAAAAGCTCAGATATCGATGTGGTTGCCGGTGATATGAGCGCCCAGGTAGGTAGACTAAGTCTGATGCCCGATTGGGTGGTCGTCTTGGGTTGAGCACGAGGCGCACGAACAACGTGGATCGCTTACTTCAGATGTATGCCGACCACAGACTGTTCCTTTGGAGTACGAACTTTATTACGGAACAGCATAAATCGCTTGACAACGTGGTGCCCACCAACAAACCAGCGCCGAATCCAACTAGACCACATCACCGTCGGTTATCGGTGGTGAGGGCCGATCCTCGCCGGCAGCTCCTTCTGGAACACCAGCGTGGACTCCAACCATGCGCTTGTACGCTGCTGCTTTTCGTTGCGCTTTTCAGGTGTACGCAAAAGGCGCACACCTCATTAGCCACTGAGAAGCTAGTGAACCCTGAATTCAAACGAAACTACCAGAACCAGCTCCTCGAATGCCTGCCTGATGGCACGATATCGGATATAAATGGTCACTGGAAAAAGATATCCAGGGCGCTTCTCAAAGCCGGAGCTTCTGTTTGCGATACAACCTATGCAGCCTCATCCAAACATTTGATCCCTTATAGGACCGTGTCTTTGCTGGAGACCCGGCGACAGAATCCACCTGGGTGCCACCACAACCCCACTCTACGCATCATTCAACTCCAGGTTAAACTGAGTGTCCGCGCAGACCGAGAACCTTGGTGGACCTTAAAGGTCGAGTAAACGGAAGAGGCAATAAATGCTGGAAACGTCCGCAAGCTGTTCCACTTGATTCGTTCGACTGGGCCTCGGAAACCTCTTATCAACGAAATAATCAGAGAACGAAATGGCAGCACGTTTAGACCGCTTGCACAGTACCTCGAACAACAGTTCAATAGCCCATCTGCTACCTCTAATCCTGAAATTCAAAAGTTGAACTGTGAATATGGAGCCGTCTTCAGCGTCAGAAGTGACTGAGTATGTATCTCTAGGCTAGCATAATCGTGCTACTGGTCCTGACGACCTCCCAGCTGTTTTTTTTTCAACTAGGCTTTTCAACCAGTGCCTGTGTAGCCTATTTGGGTCTATCTGGGTGAAAGCGACCGTCTCCGGTAACTGGGGTGCGTCGATAGTAGTGCCTATTTTCAAAAAGGGTACTCGCAGTGAAAGTAGAGTGAGATTCATGATGTTAATTAAAATGTTCAGAGTAATCGTTACCTCTCAAGACTGGTCCATCCTATCTGTCTCGTGCACTGAGCCGGAAACACATTTCATGGAGAGCAACCTCACTTTGATAATTCAATTTAGCTCGATGGCTTATCTCACCGAGTTTCTGGTGCTTGCTTGCAGAGATACTTTCATTCTCAAAGTCTCTTAGACACCCGTGGCGCATGAGACTGCTCATATCTGGTTTTCGTTCCTTGCTTCTATTCTGACTAACCATACTTAACTTAACGTTATTTAGCGAGTGGGGGCCAAGATGGCCCAAGTGGTCAGAGCGCGAATTTACTGACCGGAGGGTCCGTGGTTCGAACCCTACCTCCGCCTCTCGACTTCCCCTGTCTAGGCTTGGGCAACCTGGCAGTATCCCATTCCTCGTCTTCCTTTGGATAGCACGGCAGCTAGGCACCGGAGGGTGCTACGGCTGAACGATTTTTTTGTCTAGCTGGTATGTGAGACAAGACAGTTCTGTACTGGTGCATCTGTACCCCACCTAGGTTCAGTTTCGCCCAAGAAGTATATTCTCGGTTGAGCTAATGTCAGCGCTTGCAAGCAGCATTAGGCGAAACTCTTCAAGATATCCATGCAGCGTCGGATAGGTACGAAGCCAGCTGTCCGCTGATTTGAAGATATTGTCGAGAAGGTGGATGTAATCGAAGGTAGTTGATTAGAGCCCAGTAGTCAGGTTATGCAAAACTGATAGTTGATATTGTTTATCACAGTATTTCATAACCATTGGCCACACATGGTGTGTGAATCACGGTCACTAAAACCAGTCAATAAAAGGAAATTAAACTCACCAGTATGGAGCATTCACACCCATGTTTACCAGATCACGAAAACTTCAGGATTCGTGTACTGAACCGACGACGAATCACCTCAGTCAGTGCACAACACGCGCGAGGGTGGTCATTATAGCCACAACTAACAGTGTGCTTGGGTGATAAGTCTCATATGAAAAATTTACGGCGTATGACTTTTTCTTTGTTGGACAATCGGCTTGTCAAATGCGTCATTTGTTCCACGTCATCGACAGCATCACGCACATACTGTTCCTACAAAGTTAAAACTTGAGCTGCTCACAACGTACAATCAGTTGAATCAATGCGTGCGTGGCAATATCTTCACTGTCACGTCATTGTGCCGCTGCGGTGCAAGTATCAAAACACAGGTGAAGCGCTTTAGTTCGATGCTTCTCCGTTTTGTGGAAGCTTTTATTAGAGATCATTCGCGGTGCCTATCCTTGGCCTTGCCAAGGTTTGAACTCCGAACATCTGATATGCGAGGCAAGCCTGTTATCACTACTCGATCATCGGACGCGCCTGAATTTTTACGTCTGAATAGGTGAATCTGTTCACGCTTCAGCGATGTGATTGATTTACCAAAAGCCCCGAACGATGATTCGGCAACTGTCCTGGCTTTATTGATCGATTTACCCACCTGCCAGAGCTTCCAGGCAGGTAGCGCCAGGAACGCTTGAAACCTGCTGGACAATGTTTGATTAGTTGTAAGTGGTCGCGGAATTTGTAGACATCGCTTATCTCCTTCCTGTTCTGGCTTACCTCGCATGCCAGATGTTTGGAGTGCAACACATCGCATGTTCAAGGATATGCAGTGCTGAGGAGCTCCAGGAAGAGCGAAACTCGAGTCCACTCGAGTCGCCCTTTAGTGTGAACTTATGGGACTAATTGCGTCACGACAGCACGAAGACTGTTCAGTTTCGAGCGGTGAGTGTGTGTGAACACAGAACGTTGTTACAGGGACGAGGTGAACAACACTGTCGCTCAAGCCATACAGTCATACAACCAAACTAGGGATCGGAACAACAAAGCAGTGAGTTTCCACCACTTGGGGGATATCACGAAGAGACTGGACCTTACCGTGGTGTGGCGGTTTGTTTACATCGGCGGCCCATTGAGCTATACTGGTATCCGCGCGACACTCACACTCTCCATTCTTGTTCAGCTTTATCATTGATGAAATTAGTAGGCGAACGCAGGAAGGCCTCCAAAAACCCTGTGTACAAATTGTTGCT